TTGATGTAATTAATAATAGACTAAAGAACATCAGAGTTGGAGGTGCAGCGCGTAACGATCAAGATCATAATAGTGGTGACCAAGTAACCGATGTTTCATGGTTTACAGTGCCATTCATTCCGTTAGTAACAGAAAAATTTAATCAATTTAATAGGAAAGATATCAAAGTCTCGTTTTACAGTATGAATAAATTACAGAAATATATTAAGGTACACAAGGATCCTTATCTTCGTCTGTCTAAAAATAACGTTGTGTATAAGATTAATTGTAATGATTGTGATGCATCGTATGTAGGATAGACGAGTAGACAGTTAAGAACACGTATTGCTGAACACCGAAATCATATACGTTGGAACACTTCGTCTCGTTCAATTATAACAGAACATAGATTAGAAAGTAATCATGATTTCAATTGGGGTGAAATAGAAATTCTTGACGAGGAGCTTCGTTACCATAAGCGATTAATTTCTGAGATGCTTCATATAAAAGAACAAAAGAATAGCATCAATCTTCAAACCGACACTGAGGACTTACATAAGGCATATATTCCTATTGTAAACAAATTTAACTTTGCATAGCCAAGATCATACTAATTTAAGTAATTTTCTGTTAGTTAGTGTTTGTCAGTTGAAACAGTTATACATATGTAATTTTATCTCTGGACTTTCTACAATTTTTATACTTTAATTGTCTATTATTGAAAAATATAATTTAATGGAATTGGACTCTGTGATTTTTACATTATGACTAATATTAATTATTATTTGCTGTGACACTGACTGACAAGAAGCTTATGAATATTTCATCTTCGAATTTATAAATTGTTGACATATAATGGTGAGTGTTCTATGTGTTGCTTGCGTCTCGTGTTTGCTTGCGTGATTATTGAATTAATTAATTGTAGAATTTTGTTAGAATATCAAGAAATTCTGTTCAATCGGCCATCCAACCTTTTGTCAAGCAATTTCGATACCATTGGTTTATGTTCATTCGTTGACGTGATTTACTATTGAATTTTATTCAGCGTTTTCGAAGTAATGTAACAATTTTATATTTAACATATTATATCTGAAGAGGGTCTAATATAAAGACCGAAACATGTAATATTTTGCAATGTAATTTATGTAATATTATTTAATGTAATGTAATAGAATTCTGATTATTTTTTAATATTGTGCGTTGGTATTGACTCTTACATGCCTTGTTTTCATATTTAATTTTTATTATTATTAAGAGCCCTTTACTAATATTATTTATTTATGATAGTATTTGATTAAAAAATTATTGAAAACCAATTTTCGACAATTTTTAGCAATTAATATCTTCAAATAAAGAACGACTAAAAAAGGGCAATTAAGAGCCTTAAACGCAGTAATTAGTGCGTGAATCAAAAGTATAAATATATTTCTAATCAATATTCCATACGTGGTATACAATTCTGAACGTTTCGGCTATCTTCAAGTCATCTTCAGCAGTCTCCATTAACAATAAATTAATCAGTTCGCAATAATGAAGCTATGGGATGCAGTAAGTAAGTCTCTCAGATTGCCACGTCTGGAGAGTATTTAACCGTCAGTTAGCTGATTAACTAAATACGAGCTGTATCAAAAATGAAATCATTAATATACAGTCATTAAAAACGTCATAACGGTTTTATAAGAAGACTTACCCCTGCACACCATAACCACCAACATTATAAATTAAATAATTTAAAAATATTAATAAATTAGAAACATTCGTATTCTTCGTAAGAAAATAACGTTCGCAGTGTCACAAACAAAGTCA